CGCGGGTTGCGCACGGAAAGGGGCGCGGGGACGGCGGCGCCCGGTGCCTCAAGCGGGGGGCTTGCCGTGGAAGCGGGAGGGGGCGAAGGGGAGGCAGCGGGATGGAAGAGGAGAGGGGGGGCCTGGGGGCCCAATAAAAGGTGGTGTCCGATGGGTGGGGCTGGGGGAGGGGGCCAGGTGAGGGGCGAGGGCGTTGGAGTGGCAAGGCTGAAAGAGAAACTCGCCAGGATGCAAGTTGCAGCAGGAAAACCGGGTGAGGCAGGCAGAAGGACGTAGCCCATGATGGTAATTGCCAGCTCCTTCGAAAAAAGCAGACGCATGCCCAAACCCTCTGTCCTTCTGGTCTTCTCGCTGACTATTTGCCCATACATTCTCTTATTACTCGTCCCTCCATTTGGTAGCAGCCAGGCATCACACCTGAAAGGGTCAAGTTGGCTACAACAGCACCTAGTTGCTGCTTCCAGGCATTAAAACATGTAAGGAGTTGGGATGTGATGGATTTCCGTAGGAGTCTGGGTTGTCTTAGGAAGGATAGAATTTGAGTTTGGAAACCACAGGGCAAATGATGAACCAGCTTTTTTTTTTTTTTATGTGGGTTGGGTGTAGATCACCTTTTTAGTTGGAACTGGAAGTGTTTTAACTGTTAATTGTTTATTAATTAATTCCTTTAATTGTTCATTGTTGAGATGGATTGGGAAGGGCAGAGAAAGTTATTTAGGGAGTTCAAACGGTACATTAGGCTGCTTGGACTAAATCAGACTTTTTGTCTGAGTCGTCTGGACTTGACCATACTTCCTCTTTTCAGGAGATAGTAGTAAAGTGACTACTGTTGTGGCCACACCTGGCCAGGGTCCTGATCGCCCTCAAGAAGTCTCATATTCCGATATCAAAGTGATCGGCAATGGGTCCTTTGGGGTCGTGTACCAGGCCCGATTAGCAGACTCTGGTGAGCTGGTGGCTATCAAGAAGGTGTTACAAGATAAACGTTTCAAGGTGAGACTGGAAGGAAAGGGGCTGGTCTGTCTCGCTGGTTTTACCACTGGGATTTCATCCCTTATTTTGGTCTGTCTGTCTTTACTTCAGAACCGTGAGCTGCAGATCATGCGAAAACTGGATCACTGCAATATTGTCCGCCTGCGATATTTCTTCTACTCGAGTGGAGAAAAGGTGAGGGAAAGTTGGAAAGAGAGAGAGGAAGAATGACAGGGCTTGCTTTCTCTATTCCCTCCTTGTGCCTTTGAAGGTCTGTCTTAGATTAGTGCCCACTTTATGTTTTGGACTGGAACTCCCACAGTCCCTTTCCTGGTCTATCCTGGAAGGCATTGATGGGAATCCACGACCTGTGGAAGGACCAAGTTTCTGACTCAAGTTATCAAATTCAGGTTAACACTTGAAGCCCCTTCATGTTCACAATCAAAGTATACCCTTTGTACTTCATATCTCATTCTTCCTAGAAATGTATCAGGATAGTATACTTGGTCTTGAGAGGGGAAGAAAACATAATTTATTTCCTTCCCTCTCAGGATCTTTGTCCTTGATGGGCACAATCACTTCAAAAGGAAACCGTTCAAAGTGCAACAGTTACTTAGGTTTATTGAATCAAAGCTTGAATACAGGTGTCCCTTTAATAGTTCTCAGTTCCACCATGACTAGTTAGAAGTCCATGTTGCTGATCAACACAGTTTCCCCAACTAATGTAGGTATAGATGGTATCTGGATTAGTAATTAG